TTTTTTTTTTTTTTGAGACGGACTTTCGCTCTTGTTACCCAGGCTGGAGTGCAATGGCGCAATCTCGGCTCACCGCAACCTCCGCCTCCTGGGTTCAGGCAATTCTCCTGCCTCAGCCTCCTGAGTAGCTGGGATTACAGGCACGCACCACCATGCCCAGCTCATTTTTTGTAGTTTTAGTAGAGACGGGGTTTCACCATGTTGACCAGGATGGTCTCGATCTCTTGACCTCATGATCCACCCGCCTCAGCCTCCCAAAGTGCTGGGATTACAGGCGTGAGCCACCGCGCCCGGCCTGATTTTCTTGTTTTAAACCTGAGATGAAGTCTCATCCTGTCACCTAGGCTGGAGTGCAGTGGTGCAATTTCAGGTCACTGTAACCTCTGCCTCCTGGGTTCAAGCGATTCTCCTGCCCCAGCCTCCCAAGTAGCTAGGATTACAGGCGTGCACCACCAATGCCCAGCTCAATTTGTATTTTTAGTAGAGATGGAGTTTCTCCATGTTGGCCAGGCTGGTCTTGAACCCTTGACCTCAAGTGATCTGCCTGCCTCAGCCTCCCAAAGTGCTGGGATTACAGATATGAGCCACTGTGCCCGGCCTCTTACAATTTTCTGTTTTTTGTTTTGTTTTGGTTTTACAGAGTGATTTATTTAGGCAGAGAAAAGAGAAAAAGGAGAAAGAAAAAGAGAGAAAAGCTTCCACAATGATGTGGAAGGGCTTTTTTTTTTTTGAGATGGAGTCTTGTTCTGTCACCCAGGCTGGGGTGCAATGGCGCGATTTTGGGTCACTGCGACCTCTGCCTCCTGGGTTCAAGCGATTTTCCTACCTCAGCCTCCTAAGTAGCTGGGATTACAGGTGCCCACCATGATGCCCAGCTAATTTTTGTTTTTAGTAGAGACAGGCTTTCACCATGTTGGCCAGGCTGGTCTCAAACTCCTGACCTCAGGTGATCCGCCCACCTAGGCCTCCCAAAATGCTGGGATTACAGGCGTGGGCCACTATGCCCAGCCAGGTGTTAAAGGTTTTAAGTTTGCTTTTTGTTTAGTTTTGTTTTTGAAACAGGGTCTCACACTATGGCCCAGGCTGGAGTACAGTGGCACAATCATGGCTTACTACAGCCTTAATCTCCCAGACTCAGGTGATTTTGCCACTGCGCCTAGTCCAAGGTTTAAGTTTTACAGCATAAAAAAGTCTCAACATCACTGAAAAAGTCCAGAGCAGAGCATAAACAGAAATCCAAACCAAGGCTGGGTGTGCTGGTTCATGCCTGTAATCACAGCACTTTGGAAAGCCAAGGAGGTGGGTAGATCATTTGAGGCTGAGTTCAAGCCCAACCTGGCCAACATGGTGAGACCACAATCTTTACTAAAAATACAAAAATTAGCCAGGAATCGTGGTGCTAACCAGTAGTCCCAGCTACTTAGGAGGCTGAGACACAAGAATTGTTTGAACCCAGGAGGGAAGGCTGCAATGAGCCAAGATCACACCACTGCACTCCAGCTTGGGTACAGAGCAAGACCCTGTCTCAAAAAAAAAAAAAAAAAAGAAAAGAAAGAAATCCAAAGCGGCAGGTTCCCAGGCCAGACCCCCCAGGGTGGGACCTGTGGCTCCCTGGACCATCAGCACAGTGGCTCCCAAGTGCGACCCCAACAGTGGGACCCTTCGCTCCCTGGACCATCAGGACAGTGGTTCCCAGGTGTGACCCCCAGAGTGGGACCCTTCGCTCCCTGGACCATCAGCACAGCGGCTCCCAAGTGTGACCCCAACAGTGGGACCCTTCGCTCCCTGGACCATCAGGACACTGGTTCCGAGGCCCGACCCCCAGAGGGGGACCCTTCGCTCCCGGACCATCAGGACACTGGTTCCCAGTGGGTCATCGGCACAGTGGTTCCCAGGCCCGACCCCCAGAGTGGGACCCTTCGCTCCCTGGACCATCATGACAGTGGTTCCCAGGC